TGGAAAGCCTTGTTCATCATACTGCCCCACCTCCCTACCATTTCATTCACAGCACCTGAGCTAGAACCAATTTGTGTATGCTCATGTTCACGACCTCTCTCCCTCTAGAATGTGAGAATCTTGAGGAAAGAAACTTTCCCCTGGAACAAAAACAGACCTTCGATCAACAGCTATTGGAGATCAGTATCCGTAAGGTCTGGGAAGAGACTTCATAGAGGCAATATTGGAAGTGGTCTTGAAGAACCTAGGAGTCTGCTGGAGAAGGCTTGCACATCTGAGATTCAATGTTAAACTGCCACATCTTATCATCATAAATACCTTTAACGTGTACTTCTTTTAACTTCTATGTGCAAATAGCTTTTCACCCATGGGGTTTATGCGTCTTTCCTCACCATAACACATTTCAAAGAAATCAGTTTCTATCATTACCATAAAAATCTATCCTTTGGTGGGGTGGGGGAGAGGGACTCTACCCTAAGTTGGGTTCTTACTGAGACTCATTTTTATTTAGAACTCTCTCAGTAACTATATTTTGGCTTAACACCTTCAAAGAAGTTGATCTAGGGGCACCTGGGTGGCTCAGTTGTGAATCATCTGACTTCAGCCCAGGTCACAGTCTCAGGGTCCTAGAATGGAGCCCATCATCAGGTTCTCTGCTCAGTGGGGAATCTGCTTCTCCCTCTCTGCACGTGTTCTCCCCCCCCACTCTCTCTTTCTCAAATAAATAAATAAAATCTTGAAAGAAAAAAAAAAAAAAAGATGACCTAACCAAACAGATTCAATAAACTAGGCTTACTAGGAGAACCTTGGAAATGTCAAGTGCTTGATCACTTTACAGCCTTTTTTTCTTAAATTCTAATTAATCAAGCCAATTTTCAAGTTAATTTAATGGATTGATAGAATATCACTTACCAAAATAATAAAAATTCTCTCAGAAGCCAAAAAATCCGATGTTTGTTGTTGACAGGGGAGTAAAAGATCAAAATAACATAAAACAACAATTTACTTTGGAATGAGAGAGGCAGAGGCAGGTAGCTATTAATATTTTGACTCCTGGCAAATACTTCCTCAGGACCTTGCACCTATTCCCTGCTTGGTGCCAGGACATTTACAACCTTGTCAATTTTCTGGAAGACAGGATCTGGGTAGGGAAAGGCAGCCTAAGCCATCATACATTCAGTATACTAACCACTTAGTGGAAGGTATATGCTCTCATTCTACAAAGGGTCTTAGGTAATCTGCCAACCTTTCATTTAACAGGAAAAGACCCTAAAGCTCAGAGAACAAAAGTAATTTTTTTCTCAAATCCAGTCAGTAGAACCTAGGTAGCCTGACTTGATCAGGCAGTGTTTCTACTATCCATAGGCATGTCTCTGCAGGACATCAAAATTTTATAAATATAGCCAAATGTTCAGAAAGGGAGAACACTCATGAAACAAATACTAAGACCAGAGGGGCACCGGTATGGCTCAGTCTGAGGAGCATGTGATTCCTGATCTCAGGATGATGAGTCCCAGCCCCATGTGGGGTATAGAGGTTAAATAAACAAACTTGAACAAACAGCTAAGGAATTCTGACTTTTAGCCCCTGACATGAGAACTTAAGAAAAAAATCATCGGAACATCCTCAGTTGTCTATAAGAAATGCTCTAAGTTTGGCTGGCTCATGGTTTCAAGCAGCTAAAACTGATTTTCCCAATACTGACTCATAGCCCTCCTCAGAGAAGGTCCCCAACAAGTTTTAAAGAATAAACAGTATTACAGGAATGCCCAGCACCAACTCAGTGACATTAATCCAGCAAGCGGAGGTAAACCAAAAGGCTGAAGATACCTGGTGGTTTAGTGAAGTAGAGGAGGAGTGCCAGCCAACACCTGAACACTGTTTTTAGTCTCCAGAGACTTTCAAGGTCAAAGGCAAAAGAAAAAATCTGGGCCATGCAAATTTCTTTTGTCATCTGAGTTCAATGGGATTGGGGCTCTGAATGAGTGTTCATGCCCAGCTGTCTTGAGTCATCATTTTCTATTCTTCACTAAAAACGTTTTAGAAAAACACTTTGGGAAAACAGTATCTCCTAAACTAAAAATTTCATGGGATGGAAGAGGCAAAGAAGAGAACAGAACATAATGTTGTAAAAAACACTATCAGAGAATCCTTATTAAAAATTAACTAAAATGGCCAGGGGCACCTGGCTGGCTCAGTTGGAAGAGCATGTGACTCTAGATCTTGGGGTCATGAGTTTGAGCCCCACAATGGGTATAAAGATTACTAAAATAATAATTATAAAATAAAAAAATGAAGTTTTAAAAATGAACTAAGATGAATTAGTCAATTTTGACCATATGGGCAACACCCATATGACTTGTACCCATTTTTACTGGTACAAATAATAACTGCAGGTAGATTAGTTCTTCTAAATGGTAAATCGGAACATTTGAGCATACACTTTTAACTGAAAGTTGAAACTATTTAAATTCTCAAGTGATGAATATTAAGCATTGATGGCTCTTTCTTTTCTTGAAAACTGCCTTGCAACAGGGTATTCCACTCATTTTGTTGGAACTCCAAGACCTAGACAAAGATCCATTGTCAGAGAGAATGTCACTATGACAAAAGAAGGGCACACATTTTCTTCTTTTGCAGTAATTTTATTAAATACTGCTTGAAACAAGCAGGCAATTGGCTAGATTAGGGAAATATTTCTGTTGTGCAAATATTTGTTATGCCATTATTTATCATATGGCAGTATAATTTGGACTTTATACATAGTTGCAGTTCCCCATCCTCCAAAAATCAGTGAATAAATAACTGGAAGGAAATTTGTCAACTTTCAATTTACAGCTGAAACTATACGGGTTTGACAACTAGACTCAGTGAACCAGGCAACACCTGGGCAATGACAAACTCAATGTACAATATGTACTGTTATTAATTAATATGCATAATGGTCATCTTGACCCCCCCATAATGATATTCATCTTTGGAGTATATTAATTTATGTAGCAAATACATTGTTAAAATTATTTGAGAGAAGGATATTAAAATTTTTGTTCCTCTTCAGACCACATGATGCACAGTATTCCAAAGAAATGGGAGTAATGAGTACTCAAGTAATAGGTATCACCTTGATTTCTCCACAGGGCTGTTAATCTAGCTTGGGTCAGTCCAAAAATGTTATTCCGTTTTGAAATATCTAGGCAAATGTTGCTTTTAAGTATTTAATATGATAAAGAAGGCAAAAAGAGTCCTTTTAACAATGTATCATTTTATTTATACTTCTCTGGCTGTCATCACCTCCTGAGGAAGCCTTTAAAACCAAATACACAGTGACCAAGAGAATGTATGAGGTCAAGAATACACACACACAGACTGAAGAGACAATTTCATTTAGGCTAGATCCTCTTCTAGCCAAGACAGGGAAAAACCTCTGGTAACAATGACTAAGTAGAGAAACTCAACCACTTCCAGGACTCCTCAGTATGGCTATATTGATTTACTAGAGGTGAACTGGAGATGAAAGGGCATATACTCAGATACTGTGTAACAAGGCATGTTGCTCATTTCCTCATGTGTAAAATGGGCATAAAGCCTTCAAACTACAAGAATATGATGAGATAATATAAGAAAAATTGTTGGTTGGGGCACCTGGGTAGCTCAATTGGTTGAGCCTCCAACTCTTAGTTTCGGCTTGAGTCATGACCTCGGGACTGTGGGATCAAGCCCTACCTTGGACTCCTGCCTCAGCGAGGAGTCTGCTTGAGGATTTCTCTCCCTCTGCCTCTCCACTGCCCCCTCCACTCTCTCTCCCTCTCCAACGAACAAACAAAAAACAAATAAACCTCAAAAAGAAAAATGGTTGGCTCAAAGTTCAGTTCCTTTCCCTGCCACACCAATATTTCTATGTCTACATGGAATGAGCCATTTGCATTAAGAAAAATGCATGAGAGCAAACTGTCTTTAAACATGCAGTCAGCATACACTTGGGTTCTGTCTCATCTTTATAGGTGCTGTTTAGATCTGGAAATGAGTTCTTAACTACCAGTAATGCCTTTTCACCCTGAAAGGAAAGAATAATAAATACAGTATTGCAGGAATTCAAGGATGACACAACATACAGCCAAGCAGTCCCTTTGAGAAAAGCGTGGTTGACACTCTAGGATTACTTATTTATAATAGGCCCCAACTACTCATTCCAACATCCTCTATCATCCTAACTAGCTACTTTCAATAGAGGAGGAGGCAGGAGAGAATGACCTGGGTTCATCTCATTACCAAGCAAATGTGTAAAACCCTTCAGCACAGTGATTCTCAATCTTGGTTGCACTTGGCTCTACATCAAATCACCTGGGCAGCTTTTAAAGCTCCAACTGCCCAGATCACACCCCACATATCTGAATATCTGGGGGTAGGGCGCAGGCACCCATAATTTTTAAAAGTCCCCAGTGATTCAAGGTGCAGTTAAGGTTAAGAACCACTTTCTGGGATCACGCCTCCTGACCTCATGTAACTTCTGCTGAAAGCCAACCTAAAGCATTTCACAACCACAACTTCAGAGTACAGCAGGTCCAACAGGGTTCTGAATGCTGGAACATCCCTGATACCTGCATTGAGGTCCACAGAGTCGGCTGAAGAAAAAGCTTGTTAGCAAGAGGGTTACCCAGAGCCTCACCCGAGAGCCACCTTTTCCAAGAGTTTGCACTAAAAACAAAACCCCCAAGTTTACCAGTCTTAAGAGATGTCACCAAAGCCTGCTAGGATTTTTTTTTTTTTTTAAAGACAAATCTCTTGGAAAAGAGAGTATCTGGGGGATCGCACCTCCCCCCCCCCACACACACGGAGAGCCTATAGAAAAGCAGAACCATACAATTCCCATGGCCGCCTAGAAAACACCCGGTAAACTCCCCCCCGCCCCGCGCAGCGCAAGCAGGCGCGCGCCAGCCTGTGGCCACTGCACCTGCTGTCGCGCTGGGCCACACCTGCCGCGCCCGACCCTCTCCTCCTACCTTCCAGCAGCTCGTCCAGGCTGGTGACCTTCCGACTGCCGTCGATGGTGTAGATGGTGCGGACACCCTGGGGCAGGTTCACGTTGTCCGACAAGGAGCGAGTGAGCTCTATGAGCAGCGCGTCGAAGGACCGGAAGCGGTCGCTGGAGATGGCAAACACCAGGCCCTTGAAGTAGCGGTCCCCATTCCGGTAGAAGCGCGCCTTCTTGGCCTTCTTCTCTGAGCTCAGAGCCTGCAGGGTCCGCGTGCGGTAGAAGCTGCAGTGGGCACTGTGCGCCGGGCTAGGGATGAGCCCGTTCCCCTTGGGGCCCGAGCTGCTGCTGCCTCCGGAGGAGCTGGGCGCCCCTCTCCGAGACCCTGGTCGCGGCCTTTTGTCCCGTTCCTCAAAGTGCTCCAGCTCAATACTCCTGGTGCTGGCCATCACGACTGCTCTGAAGGCTCCCCCACAAAAAACGTCCCAGCCGAAGCCTCCCGGTAGCCTAGTGTCAATGAGAGAGTCAGCTCAGGGACGTCTGACCGTGGGGGCCTCAGAGCGCCGGGACACCTGGCTGTGGCATCTCGCCCTCTCCTCGCAGGTGGGGCAGCTGAGCCGCGGAGGAGACGACTGGCCCGCGCCCCCCCTTCCCTACAAGTGGCCGCAGCGTCGAGCTGCCCAGCTCATTGTCCAGCGCGGCTCGCTCCGTCCCTCCCGCGGGGAGCCCCACGCCCCCCCAACCCCGGGCGCCTTCTCCAGCCAGCCACGCCTCACAACTCCCGCCTGGGAGCCGGCCAGGAGCCGCAAAGTTGGGCCGCGGGAGGTTCGCCCCGGGCCCGCGGGCGCACACAAAGCTCGTGCGCCCGCCGCGGCTCGCGTCCGCCGGCGGCTCCCGGGAGGCTGAGGGGAAGGAAGGAAGAGGAGGGGGAGGAGCTGGGAGCGTGGGAGAGGCGCCGCGGGACCGCAGGGGCGTCGCGCCCGGCCCCGGCCCGCCCACGAGCCCTGCCGGAGGCCGGGGATGCGGCGCCTCCGCCTGGCTTGCCCGCAGGCCCTGCCTCGGTGGCGGCGCGCGCGGACTCGGGCTGAGAGGACAGTGCGGGGGGGCCTCTTCCTCCAACAGAGCCCGGCCCTAGCGGGAAATAATGCAGCCCGCCTCCCCCGCTGCCGGCCGGCCCAGCCCACCCGCGAGCATCTGCGCCCGACTCCGCGGCCAGCCCGGCCCGCTGGCGGGACTGGAGGTGGTGGTGGTGGGGTTCCTGCCCCCCAAGGGCTGCCAAAGCCCGGGAGGGAAGGGGTGCGCGAGGAGGAGGGGGCCGCACGGGTCAGCGCGGAGGCTCTGCGGCGGGAGAGGACCGACTCCTCCTGGGTCCTAGGCAGCCCCGCCCGCCTGACAGCTACAAGCCCGAGCCGCGCGCTAATGGGCGCAGCCGCGGCACGCGCGCTTCTGCTTGGGAAACGTAAACGCGCAGGCCAAAAAAACTACAAAGGAAGGAGATTCAAGGGCAGAGATCACATCCCTAACTAGCCTCCAAAGGAGGAACCAAGGCCAAACTAGGGCAGAAATTCGAAACATGACATAGGGTTAGGGCACAAAATTTTATATTTTAAAAAGAAAAATTTGAAGATTTATTTTAAGACCTTTGATAAAACAGTTTCCATTGCAGGCTTGCTAACATGGGATGTTGAGTAACTTTGAATGAATAAACGCTCAGAAGTTATTGGATTTTGAGGGATTTATTTAATCAACAAATATTTATTAAGGGCAAGCCATGTGCCAGGCATTGTTTCCATCACTGCTAATGCATTAGTAAAGGAAACAAATACCTCCCCTCCCCCACTCACAGTTAAGTGGCATTTAATGTTGTCAATTTGAGCTTCTTCTTCTTTTTTTTTTAGATTTTATTTATTAATTTGACAGGCAGAGATCACAAGTAGGCAGAGAAGCAGGCAGAGAGAGAGGGGGAAGCAGGCTCCCCGCTGAGCAGAGAGCCCAATCCGGGGCTTGATCCCAGGACCCTGGGATCATGACCTGAGCCTAAGGCGGAGGCTTTAACCCACTGAGCCACCCAGGTGCCCCATCAATTTGAGCTTCTTAAGTAATAGTTCTAACATTTGTAAGCATCCATCATACTGGAAGTCTTAATTTAATAGTGTCAACAATAAAAACATATTTCCTAAAGGCTTTGGGAAACATTAGTTATTTCCACTTGCTATCAGGGAAAGATGAAACTAAAAGATGTTTGTCCTAATCTAACAGGTGGGTAAGCGGCCTTGAAGCCTTATTTATTCAGCACCTGGTTCTTTGAGACAACAAATCCCAATCCACCTGGAAGGTAGGAAGGCATGGATACTTTTCTTGGAATGAACTGAGTCCATGGCAATGCTCCAGAAGAATCCTGTTCAGTGCACCATTATAGTCCCAGGGCAGTCTCAGGGACACACCTGGACATAGCTGACTTCTAGAACCAGGCCTGGAGCTGTCCGGGAATTCAGCTGATTTGAGGTTACAGTGTAGTTTTCAAGGGGAAAAATTCTAAAATATTATTAGGTCATGACCATGATAGACTTCAATCCAGAACAATTAAATCAGAATTTCTAGAGACAGGTTTCTCCAACAGTATTTCTCCCCCCACCCCTCTTTCTTTTTTTTTTTCTTTTAAAGATTTATTTATTTATTTGAGAGAGAGTGTGTGTGTGCACACACGAGAGAGAGAGAGAGAGAGGAGAGAGAGAGCATGTGAGCAGGGCGAGGGGCAGAAGAAGTGGGAGAGAGAATCCTAAGTGGACTCCCTGCTGATCATGAGCCCAACAAACGGCTCCATCCCATGACCAGAGACCATGACCTGAGCCAAAACCAACAGTGGGGCACCCAGCCAACTAAGTTACCCAGACACCCAACCAACAGTATTTTTTGGAAGTGCTCTTAATGTATATAGCCAGGGTTTCCAACTATAGGCTATAACAAGAATCAAACAGATCAGTGTTTCTTCTCAAACTTTGATGTACTTATATATAGTAGAGAATCTCATATTCAGAATCTTAATTTTTGATTGAGTGGGTCTGTGGTAGGATTTGAAATGCTCCATTTCTAACAAGCTCCCGGGTGATGCCATCGCTGCTGGTCTCCATACAATACTTTGAGGAAAAAGAGAATTAAATGGCAAATTCCTTGAGATAGGACCTCACTAAGTGCCACTAATTGCAGAGTCAGCAACTTTGTAAATGGCTTAACATGGGTGTGTTCATCTGTTTTGCTACTACAGAATCTTGGTGGGAAAAACGCTTTCTAATTTATTGCTGTAGTAACAAAGTATCCCAAATCTAGTGATTTATAGCAATAAATATGCATTATCTCAACAGTTTCTGTGAGTCAGAAATCTAGGAGCAGCTTCCCTTGAGTTTTCATTAGATTGCACATCAAGACATTGCTCGGGGCTGCAGTCACCTGAAGGTCTGACTGACACCAGAAAAGCCACTCCTAATATGGCTCACACATGTTGGCAGGGGCCCTTAGTTCCTCACCATGAACACCTCTCTGTAGGGTTGCTTGAGTGTTGTAACAACGTATCAGCTGGCTTCCTGTAGAGCAAGCATTCATGAGAGAACAAGGTGAGAACAATGACCTCATTCTCACACCATCCTGTAAGGTACACAGCTCAGACTTGTTCAGTGGGGGACACTAGGGTGTGACTACCAGGTGTCAAGGATCACTGGGGTCATCCTGCAGGCTGGTTGTGCAGATTTCAATCACTCAAGCTTTAGGACAGCAACATACATACTTTTTCTCACCCAAAGATTTCTGATCAAAGATCTGGCCCTTCTTAAATAGTGAAGACAATGATGTAATCTGTCAGTATTTTCATATTATTTCCTAATATTATACCCCTAAATTGAACAAAGATTACTGTTTCTCAACAGGGGTGAGGGCAGAAGAGAAAGAATTTCTAAAGCTGTTACTTAGTTAAAATTATTTTCCTCCTGCTCTTGCATTAATTTGTTTAAAGAATTTTATTCCAAACCCTCATATAAGAATTAAGATGTGATCACGTTTCATAAAATATTTACTTAATGTATATGGTATACCTCAAGACCCAGTTGGCCAAAATTTGAATATTTATTGTGGTGGGAAAAAATTAGTTTGGGCATTACAATCCTAATGCAAACAAAATTGGGGGTTCTAGGCAGGCATCACTTAATCTGGGTTACTTTGTAGTAGAACCAAAACAAATTCTCTTCTTTTAAGCCATTGCAGAATTTGCAAAATAGGATATTTCAACGGGCATTTCCCTTGTCAAGATAACCCCTTTTTTCTAACCAAGAAACACTATCAGATTTGCTATTCATTTGTCATTACAGAAATGGTCTGATTCTCCTTGGTGGTTGTGAGGTCTACTAATTCTGTTGGCCAGGTCCTGATTTAAACAGGCTTCATCAGGAGGGGCTGGCCGTGCCTCTTCACCATCCAGAAGCTGGCTTTGACCTTTTCTCTGTTGGTGGTAGAGTCTCCATATCCTTTCCTCACCCCTCTTAATCTAACACTTGTCTGAATAAAAGCTTTTGTGCAGAGTACTTTTAAAAAATGGCTTCGTTTCTATGCTACCGAGAACCTAAGAATTTCAATCCAGCACTTCTCCATTTTTTGTATAATTACGAAAAACCCCTTTCTGCTTTTGATATATAATAACTATAAATCGCAAAGTATCCAGTGAACGTGAACATTTTCTTGATGATATCCAGGAGGGGGCTCTTTTAAAAATCATTTGGGGGCAGAAAATCTCAACTACGTGTGAAGGGAAGCTCCCTGATTTTTGTTCTCTACACTTTTCCTTAGATCACAATTTCAGAATTTTGAAGTTGCCTTTTGGCCAAATGGTAATTCCCACCCCCCCTCCCCGCACCCCCCCCCCACCCTGGTACCCTCTACCTCCACCTGGACTAAGAAATACAATGCAAATTTTTCTTTAGCATTATTTGTTTAAATGAGATTTCATTACACAGTTCTTTGTGGAACTTTACATAAGAAAACTTGCCTTGAACATTTGCTGATTTTGCTTCAGGCCACTTTACTTTTCCAGTGCATTTGCTAAGCTTCACTTCTGGCCAGAAACTTCTGCTCTTAGAGGCAGTTTTCCAGCTCCATTATTTATTACGGTAAAGATGCTTACGAACCTTTTATACAGTGCTGTGCCAAGACTTTCTGCTGTCTCATGTTTTCATTCCTGTTCACTAGTGCCAAACGTTTCTCCCCAGAAGCAAAAATGATGAAACAACTATTTTCAGTGAAAGAGCCTGGTGACTATGGACTTGAGTTTTTGAAACTGAAGAGTATCTTTTATTTCGTAATCTTTTTTTTTAGATTTTTTTTTTTATTATTCATTTGACAGACAGAGATCACAAGTAGGCCGAAAGGCAGACAGAGGGAGAGGGGGAAGCAGGCTCCCTGCTGAGCAGAGAGCCCTATGCGGGGCTCGATTCCCGGACCCTGAGACCTTGATCTGAGCTGAAGGCAGAGGCTTTAACCCACTGAGCCACCCAGGTGCCCCTTATTTTGTAATCTTTACTGAAAAAAAGATTCCGACGAAAGTTTCTCTT